CCCCCCCACCCTGCGACAGCTCGAAGCCCGAGCTCTCTTGTCACCTCATCATAAGCTCTATCACGTCAGACTGAGCGATTTAATGAAGAAAAAGGATCAATCCCCGGGGACGGACGAGAAACTGCGGAAGGGATCCTCAGCGCTAGCGGAGATGCTCACAGAATTACGGATTCGGACTCAAGCTGGATTCGGTGTGCAACAAGCGGCAGAGACCGAACCTGCGGATGGTCTGATTCAGCGGAGCAGTTCGCGTTCCAGAGCTCGGCCCGTGAAGAACTCGAATGTTCGTGCTCCCTCCAATTAAGTGCAGGCTGAAGTTAAACTAATTATGAGCTATCCGTTCAAGTGTATCTTGTTGAGAGTCGGAGCTGATGTGGGCGGTCGACCTGATCCCATACAGTTGCGTGAAGGCTCCGGTCTCTCGGAGCACGTCAACTCCATCTCTTTCCTGTTCACTCCGTCGACTCTTTCGCCTGGCACGAGCTCGGCGACAAGTTTCATGTCCCATGTCTAGCTGCTCTCTGGCATGGTATGATACTCGAGCTCTGGCTCCCTCAACTCAAGGGAGCGTACTGAATTGTGAAAACCATACTCACGCAAGTGTCCGTGAGATCCGTATCCTCCTGGAACATTTCGACTACTCCACGCTGGTTGACATTCATGCTGACCTGGGGCTTGGTTCTCGCGTACTTGGAGTCCGGGCCGGGCCCGAGCCCGTCCATCGCATCGAGACGATCGGAGCGTGTCGTTAGATCACCAAATATCTTTCATCGGGTATTTCGGTTCTGATCGTTCGAAGAATTCCTGTAAGCAAGGGAGAGCTCCAGTCAACTTTCCCTCATGGCATTCCCGAACTCCCTCTCTGCCTGCTTGCCCCGAGAGGATTTCGATTCTGCGAAGGATTTCCCTCAGGAGTGTTGAGCTTGGAGGAATTCCGCTTGCGACGTGGCCTGCTCGCGTCGCTGATGAGGATACGAATATTCTCATTTGAGATGCTTGCCGAGCCTAACCTAGCTGGGAGCATGTCTGGCCGATATCTGGGACGACGGCAAACCAACTCGCAACGGTGAGCAACGAAACAGCGGAATAATTTCGCTCTCCGATTGCATCAGGGAAGAATAATCGACGGACCATATCTTGTTGTCTCTCAAGTTGGTAATCAATCGAGGCTCATTCGGGATTCGCCGAGATCGTGCAAATCTTGACGGCGGAGCTAACCGGCCATCGTCGGAGGCAGGCCCTCATAGCGCAACAGCTCGGAGTAGCATGGCGGAGTGAATTAATCGCAAGACCACGGCTGCGTGGTGAATCGATAACGAATACCGTGGGAGCATCGCAGGTTCCAGAAAGGAAAATCAGATTTCGACGATCGCAGTGCTCAATAATGCATCTCCGATCGGTCGATGGATCAAAGTACAGAATCCACCAAAAGTTTAGACTGATGAAGAACAATCAGCCCATGGGTACGGAAGCAGGTACTGCTCTTGAGCCGGGAGTACACACGATGTGGAAGGTGAGGAGTAGCTCTGTGTTCTCTTATCGATTTCCCGTGATTTTTCGCCTCGAATCGCGGGAAAGGAATCGGTCGCCTCTTTCAATTTACTCGAACGAATCGCTCAACGTCGCCAGAGACCACCCGGAGCGTTCGAGCCCACCGATTCAAGATTGAATTCCATCCGATTCTCTGCGGACTGCTCTTGTGTCATCGATCATTTCCGAAATACGCAAAGATCGAGAATCACATCTGGACACACGATTCGTCACGAAGGAGTTGGAGAGTGATGGACGACCCTCGGGAAATGCATTGACAGCCTGCCGGGTCATTACCGCCTCAAGGAAGAAATTCAATCGAATCACGTGAGATTATTGATTCCCGGTTCAGCGTTGCACAATGGCCGCGAGATCTACCGCGACCGGAGTAGAGAGACCTGTTGAGTTCCTCTACCGAGTCTGGGTCGACCAACGAGTCGATTTCCGGTGGAAAACGAATCGGACCCTCAGCACAAAAGCATGATGGTACACAATCAGCGCGGCTGTACCCTTTCGGCGCGGCACAGACAGCGTCGAGGAAGCTTCCACCATTCGATGGTGTTGGAAGCCCACGCTGTGGCGAGAGTTTCATGAGTTCTCACCGTCCCTGTGACGGAATTCCACGTTCCCGGCGAGAGGAGAAGAACGCGCAAAGTCTTATCTTGAGGGACGTCCAGGGAGAATTCGACTAGAGCGAAGCTTCCAACAGGCTTGTGTGATATTGTCGATCAATCGTTGCCCCAGTTTCCTCACTCGGCGGAGTTTTATGCCCGTTGAAGGGAAACTCGAACAGGGATTTCTCCGGGCAGGGATTTGCCTGCTCGAGGCATGCGCTGCTTCGCAATCCTTATCCATTGGCTCTCGCAGTCATCATTTGAATAAAATTCAAAGGTGCCTGATTGCGGGGGCTTTCGAAACCCGAGCTATTCGTGCTCGAATGACAACCAACAGAACGTTCCCTGATTCAAGCTAGAATTCGAATCAAGGGGGGAACTACGTCAAACCACGGAGCTTCTCTAGGATCGCTGCTTCCGAAAGTTTCCTAATGCCTCAAGGGCCGCCACTCGCGGTGGGAGCTATTCAAGGATGAGATCTTCGCTAGTCGGATTCCTCATCGAGCAAGACTCTTGCGCTCCATGGTGTTCTCTCTCGGACTGAACGTCTTCGGCACACCTTGAATCACCGGTTCGAGGCGTGAAAATTCACACGGTCATCTCATTTACACGCAAATGAGGCTCGGAAACAAGTTGAGAATAAGAGATGCTGGTGCTTATGTTTGGCTGTTTCGCTCGCCCGAATGCTATGTTTATTTTGTTTCTATCTTCCTTCTTGGCATTCGCTTCCATTCGTCGCTCGTTTTTGCCCAAGGTGTTTTTATAGAGAAGAGAGAAGCTCCCGTTCTTCTTCCGCTCGCTTTCCCGGTGCACTCTCTTCTGTTGTGGAAACGACAGCGAGAACAACGACCATCGCGACGGCTATTGCCACGAACACCAACAATGCTGATCACTCTATCATCGATTTGCTGCTTCCTTAACCCCCCCGAACGCAATGTGGTCCTCGCTTGTTATCAGGACGACCAGTTCGTGCTCATGCCTTCTTCTTTCGGCTGAGTCCCCGTGACATTGAGACATCATTCTTTCAGGGGAAACTTTCTGTTCCTGAGGAGAGCGAACAAGTCATTGCAATATACTCTCGAAGAATTCCCGAGCAACGACAAAACAATTCCTCCAGCACGACTTCCGTATTTACGCTGGCAAGAAGCGCCGCAAGCTGGGAGAGGTGGATCCTCCCTTTTTCTGGATTACGATGTTCTGAACTCGACTCATTCATTGTCTGTCGACAAAAGAAGAGGTCTGAAGGGGTTCTGCTCAGCATCGGTCGCCATGTATTCCCTGAAGGCCCTGAGAGAGAGCCATCTAAGATTCGTCAGCGACATGACGTGCTATCTAATATCGATCTCGATGCTGCCAACTGATAAGCGCGATCAGTCGCAGTGATCTCTCGAGCTTATCGCGGAGCGATCTGTTCTCCGCCTAGTCAAACGTCTTCCTCCGTTTCGGAATTCCGTGCTCGTCCATGGGCGGAAGCACAAGGGAACCACCGGGTCCTCTAGTGTGCGAATCTAGAATTGATTCTCACGCTCGAAGCTGTATCGCAGTGGAGATCCCTCTTCCAAAGAAAGCTATCTCTACCCGTTCTCGGTATTGAGCCGGTGAGAGGGTCTTCGGGCGAGAACGACCTCCCTGCGGAGAAGGGGGTCTCCCGTGGGGAAGCATCGGCCGTCTTGAGAATTTCTGACGATTGCACCTGGGACACGCGAACGAACACGCGAACGGCTCTCGGACGATTCGGAATCGGCACGCCACACGAAAGCTTCGGCCATCATCACGAATTACGACTTCATACGTGTGCGAGCTCAGTGCAGACGCAGTTCTTGTCAACTCTCTGTAGCTCTCTGTCGACTTCGAGACTGCCTTCCGAAGACCTGTTCAACGATTCCGCGCCGATCCGAGGGCTCTGACCGAGTCCAGGTTGCTGAAAGGGAACTGACTGAGTGAGTCTATAAGCGAGGCTCTTCTCCGAAGAAGCGGATCGGCTGGAAGCTCCGAGAAATCGATCATGGCGAGAGGGAGAAATCTATGTGGAGAGAGAATTCTGTCGACGTTCGTGTTTGTAGGAAATTGAGTCCCACCCGGTGCATTTTGCGTTCAGCTCAATTCCACGAGACTGCACTCCGAGCTAACGCCTGGTCGTTGAGACACTTGTTTGCGATGCATCCGTATTCAAATTTTCCACTCAGACTCTCTGCACGTCCCGGGCGCAACATCGTAGAAGCTCATTTAGAATGTTTACCGATTTCAGGCGAAAAAATGCCGCGTCATATATTTAGGGAGAATTCGCACGTCGGAGCCCAAGATTGTTCGGGAAGGTCCTGTGGGTTCCGGTCCCGAAGTTTCCGGGGTTCAGGCCGCGGACCGCGCAAAAGAAGTCGGCCAATGCTCTCGCCAGAATGAGGAGGGGGGGATGATCGATTCTAGCATGGATTCACCTCGGCATCGAGGAGCGCCGACGAACGACTCTGGGTGAGATCAGTCAAAATCCGTGCTCAGTTACGTTCCGTCTGTTGAGCGTACCTCGTTCTTGATTGTGATCGTATACCCCCCTATTTGCTGAGTACTTGAGTCTGACGGAGCAGCCGCGCTCGCGAAATTTTCGGCCCGAGTCAAAAGCCGGTCGAGATTTACATATCCGGAGCACCGACGAGCGGTGTGAGGAGTCTCAGCCCGATGTCGTGATACAAAGTTCGGGCTCTAAAAAGTTCTCGATGTATCTCCGCGTAGGGGAGAAGCAGGGCTCATTCTTGATTTGACGAAGCTTTGATTTGTCGAAAAATTTGAAATTCTAATGAGCGAAGCGCGGTCATATGTGTATCCACAGAGTGCTGGGATTTTCGGAGCTCTCTCCGTACCGCTTTCCCGATTCGTCTTTCGGCGACTTCGGCGCGGCCTGCCGTTTCCCGCTGAGGAATTTTTCAAAAATTCGGCAGAACGTTATCAAGAGGAAGTGCCTAGAACCCTCCGAATTAGAGATTTAGGCGTCGGAGGAGCCATACGGAATACGCTCGAGATTTCCCTGGCTCCCTCAGTCCCGGCTCTCGGCAGTGAGGAATAGCGCCCTCGCGAGACCGAAACTTTCCCTCCGGGAATGGGCGGCTGCGGTTGAGAATTTGTCAGGGTACATGAGTAAAACGCAGCCCGGGCTTAAAGCGGGAACGCGTAGGCCAGAAATTATGACCACGAGAGAGGAACTCATTCCGTAGAGGGTGGAGCGGTCGGACGGCTGTCTTGGCTGCGTCAAGCTGCCCACAGGAACTCCGAAAAGGTCCGTGGGAGATTCTGATGGGCCAGTCCGACATTCCGCCGCGACGCAATAAGGCCGAAACGATTGGAAAAAGCCTCCACCTAGCTCTCTCGGGCTCCATGAGACAAGGAACCGAAAAAGAGACGAATTTTAGTTCATTACCCAAGTGATGTCGAGTTCTCCGCGCGGAGCTCCGTTCCCGTCAAAAGTAGGACCGAATCGAGGCAGAATCGCATGCTACAAAGTTTCTCGATCTCTGAAGATGCGCTCGAGCTTCGACTTCAACCTTTCTATTTGGAACAATCGGAGACTGTGGGCAGCCTTTGCTCGATGCGGTTTGGCAATAGGAACCGCTGCCATTGGCTTTCCCTCCATTCTTTCAGCG